TGTGGAAAAACGAAGCGTTTCACACAGCAATTGAATATTCTTTATTTGTACACGAATACCAAAGACCCAACGACTGCGAATACGAGGAAGTCTTTGAATACAAATTAGCAGACTACGAAAAAATCAAACATAAATTAAACAGCGTCAATTGGCAAATAATTCTAAGGAATGAAGGAAATGTCGAAACTGCTGTAGACATCTTCTACCAAATTTTATCAGGAATAATTTTGGAAGAAATACCTTTGAAGAAAAAAAGACGCTACAGAAGCACAAAAAATCCAGTCTGGTATAACAGACAAATAAAAAACTTAAAAAATCGAAAACAGAAAGCACATAAACATTACAAAAAACACAATAATAGTGAAAATTTGGCTATCTATTTGGACTTATGCGATCAACTAGATTTAGCCATCAGTAATGCATTTGAAGAATTTAATTCAAAAACTGAACTTGAAATAAAGTCCTGCCCAAAGAACTTCTTTAATTACGTAAAAACCAAATTAAAATCTGACAATTTTCCATCAATAATGCATCTTGACGAACGTGTCGGGGATAGCTCGGAAAAAAATTGTAAGCTTTTTGCAATTTTTTTTCAAGAAATCTATACGACATTTTCCGATGAAGATCGCGACCGCGATTATTTTGCATTTCATCCAGAATTTTCAAGGGACATTGGCGTCAATCAACTTCAAGTGCAGGATATTTTGCAGGCTTTAAAGAATTTAGACGCCTCAAAAGGTCCTGGACCTGACGGAATTCCTCCAGTATTTTTAAAAAGTCTAGCAATGGAACTCACTGCTCCATTGTTTTGGCTTTTTAATATGTCACTGGAATCCGGAACCTTCCCAAAAATATGGAAAAGCTCATTTTTAGTACCTATTTTTAAATCTGGCCGAAAATCTGACGTACGTAATTATCGTGGAATAGCCATTATCTCTTGCATTCCAAAGCTTTTCGAGGCAATTGTAAATGAAAAATTATTTCTTCAAACCAAAAATAGAATTACTGACATGCAACACGGCTTCTTTAAAGGACGTTCGACCTCGACAAATTTACTTGAATTTATAGACTATTCATTAAATGCAATGGATAATGGAAACCACGTAGAAGCTCTCTATACAGACTTTAGCAAGGCATTTGACCGAATTGACATACCAATGCTTCTTTTCAAATTGAAAAAAATTGGAATTGAGCCAGCCCAAGTAACAATTTTGGTTTTATGAGGGTTCTGTAGACCATGATTTAGACTTGTAGAATGCTATAAAACCGCGATAAAACCTGCAATGTTACTTGGGAGGACTCCTGAAATGGCTTGAATCATATTTAACTAACCGCCAACAAATAATTAAATTCAACGGAAAGAAATCGACCCCAATTCAAGTCACCTCAGGAGTCCCGCAAGGCTCTCATCTGGGACCTCTTCTTTTTATCCTGTACGTAAACGACATTTCCTTCATTCTCAAAAAAATAAAATTGCTAATCTATGCCGACGACATGAAGCTCTTTTTGGAAATAAAAAATGATGAAGACATCAATATATTCCAGAGTGAAATACACATATTCTACACATGGTGTAAAAAAAGCCTATTAGAACTGAATGTAAAAAAAATGCAACTTAATATCATTTAGCAGAAAAAGAACACCATCAAACATTTCAATTGCATTAGGAAATCAGAATGTAGAAAAATGTGAAAGAGTCAGGGATTTAGGGATTATCTTAGACTCCAAACTAACTTTCATAGACCATTACAATACAATTATTCACAGGGCAAATAACATGCTAGGCTTTATCAAGCGCTTTTGCTATAACTTTCAGGACCCATACACAATTAAAACACTATATATTGCCTATGTGAGGTCAATACTGGAATATTGCAGCATTGTATGGTCTCCATTTTCAATCACGCACGAAGAAAGATTAGAATCAGTACAAAAGCAATTTCTATTATATGCCCTTCGTAAATTAGGTTGGACATCATTTCCTCTTCCATCATATGAAGCACGCTGCATGCTTATAAACATACAAACATTAAAAGAGCGTCGTGAATATGCAATGGTTTCGTTTGTAAACGATATCGTTTCGCAGCGCATTAACTCAGCAGAACTTTTATCAAAATTAAATTTTTATGTACCTACTCGACAACTCAGAAATAGAAATTTATTTGCCGTAACCCATCATCGCACAAATTATGCAAAATTTGGGCCATTAAATCGCATGATGGCGTCTTACAATCAATACTGCGAAACCATTGACTTTTCAATGTCTCGGCATAAACTAAAACAATATTTTAACTCCATACGGAATCATAACTCGTAGGAAGTAAAAATATAATAGCTGTCAATATATTTTTTAATATTCTTAAGAAAAACAAATTTGTATATGTATTTGTACTAGTCTACATCGGTTGATGAAATAAATAAATAAATTAAACACACATGGGCCGGGACCAACGGCTTTACTTCCCTTCCGAAGGAAGACGTGACCAGAGATTTTTATGCCTCAGAAAAATCCCACCGAACCATTGGGGTGTTAGAAAGCAGTCACGCTTACCACTACACCACCGGCGCCGGCTAATTGCACTCCGTTATCGGTACTAGTTTTTTCCCCTATAAGGCTGTCCACGAGACAGTTGCGATCAGCTGACTTTTTTGTTTACCAAGAACTTTTGACAGATAACAGTAGAACAGTAGAGCCAAAAAGTTGAGCTCGTTTCTTCGGGACCTTCTGGTCTTAGAGTTACCTCTATGGTTCTACCATAGAGGTAACTCTAAGACTAGAAGGTCCCGAAATAACGTGCTCAACTTTTTGGCTCAGCTTGGTACTCTCTTCGGTCCCAAGCTAATCGATTCACCCCTCGAAACATAGGGAAAACCAATAACCCCTCATTTTATCTGTCAAACTTTCATAGCGAATCAAAACAAACATTGCGTAGTACTAGAATTTCGACTAGAATAGGGTACGTTAATCGTTTGCTTGGGACCAATAGGCTAGTCAAGTGGTGAGCCAATTTAAAATCGTTAGTTTCGTATTGATTGTTGCCATGATGACGTCATGCTCGTTTGGCTACACTAACTGACAGTTCGTTTGGCTCCATTATATTTTGCCTCCGCTTATCTATGGAATCTATAGTATCTATAGTTTCCACCGGTTGTTTGTACCGCGAGTAATGAACTGCTCGAAATGCAAGCAACTTGGTCACACCGCTGACTTCTGCTCCAACAAACCGAGCTGCATGCAGATGGTCCATGCCGGACTAACCCAAAATGTGTTTACTGTCAGGATACTCTGCATGCTTTGGTTGATTGTCCGAAGTACAAACAGCAGGAAGAAAAACTTAAGCGGTCTTTGCAAGCTCGCTCCAAGAGGTCACTTGCAGAACTTTATAAAATACCGCTTCATCTTCCCAAACCACCCCAAAAATCAAAAACACATATTCCCTTTTGCCAGATGATGATCAAGGCTCTGACTCAGAGGTCGGTGAAGGTAGTCCCTTTGCCTTTAAAGGCAACACGAGAAAGCGATTAAAAAAACGTCACTCAAAAGCCTTGTAAGACCTCTTGTATGGACTCTCAACCTACCTTGACAAATTTAAGAGGTAACGGAAATGTACGAAACCCTCACCACCACCGAGATCATCTAAAACCCCAGATATCCCATTTTTTCAGCCAGAAGAACAGCTGAAAATCAGCAAGAAGATGCTCCCATGTTCACGTTTTCTGGAATTGTGGAGAGCACCTTCAATATATTCAACGTCTCTGACAGTGTTGTTAACGCGATAAATTATTGTCGATAATCGTCATCGTCGATGGCGATAACGTCTGGTATCGTTAACGCCGATGACGATAACGTCTTCAAACGTTAACGTTATCGGTGATAACGATAAGTACTATAACTTAAGACTCTCTGACTTAACGAGGAACATTATTAATTTAGTGCTTCCAATTGTGAAAACTCTTTTGAGTGGTGGTCCTCCCTTGCATCGATCATATCTTGTGATGGATAATATTCCGAATGAGGTCGGGGATATAATCTCTGTTCTTCAGTGGAATTGTAGAAGCAATGCTGTATACGGAAATTGTTGGAGAAAATGATTCTTTTTCGTCTAGACAAATGGGTCGAGTCCAATAGTTTACTTTCAGATAGGCAATTTGTATTTCGGAGATGCAAAGGAACGAGCGACAGTTTTACGTTGCTTTCAACTGAAATTCAACTGTCCTATGCGCAAAACCAGCAAATGGGTTCAGTTTTCTTGGACATTAAGGGTTTTTTTTTCCTTGATTTGTTTTCCGTCGATCTTGTTTTCCGTACTGAGTAACAATGGTAGCGACGCCAAGGAGACAGCTCCCACACCTTGGCCCTACCTATCGACCCATCAACTCATAGACCGGGGACCAACGGCTTTACTTCCCTTCCGAAGGAAGGCGTGATCAGAGATGTTATGCCTCAGAAAATCCCGGCGGCGCCTTGGCATGTCTAAGATTGCTGTATAGTAATATCTCAATTTCCTCAACCTATACTACAAGATGGACATGTCGTTACATTATTTTCTTGGAATAAAGAAATCCAGTTTAAAGTATAGTTCCTTTGTAATAATAATATTTCATTGTGCATCTTCTAATATTTGAAATCTATTTTTTTATTACCAATTGCATGGTCCTCGGTGAAAATGCGATACATAATATCTACATATAGGTATAACAGATCGAATATTCACTTCTTCAGAGCTTTGTAAATTAAAACCAATCCAAGTCCAAGAGCTAATGCCGAACCTGCAATGAGGGCCTTTTGCTGCCAGCTGAAATGATAGTTTGTTTTAATGGTGAAATCAGTTTAGAAGTCGTTCAGACTGTGGCTTATCAATCAACGAGCAATATGTAACATAATCATGCAGCGAACATTGATAAGGAGATAGCACTACTATGTATGAGTAAACGGAAAAAGTTCACGTGTTCTGATCGGATGATTAAACGAACTACACAAAGGAGATTGCTCATAAAATGAAATAAATGTTTATTTTCATCGATAGAATGTTTTAAACACAGCACCACAGGTTAATGATAGTTTGAGATATCAAGCACAAAACTATCAATCGTATTCGATACAGGCATTCTATTACAATATTAATCCAAATCTTATCCAAAAAACTTAGCCTTCAAGGCACCGAACCAGGATCCGGATGGCGAGGACGAAGAATCAGAACTAAATTGAAGGGAAAACAAAACGTTAACCATAAGAAGCTACTACTTTCTACAAATAAACATATTGAGTGCAACAAACAGATATGACGTAAATTACAATGCTACAAGTTACACAAAAGCACTACTAGCAAAGTAGATAGGTAGCTGAATAAAGAAACGACTTACTCTTGCGTTGTTGCTTTCTTTTTTCGCTCGGCTTCAACGATCTCTCCAACAACAAATTGCTTCATTTGTTCCCTTGAAGAAGAAAAAAACGGTGAAGTTTTTTAGAACCATGCTTTTACAGTCACAATGATACAACACAAATCTGGTGTATCTACGTTCTACACGGAATTATTCAGATCAGAATACATGTATATAGGTATTTACTTCGCATCGGTACTGTGGCCAACATCGGTGAACTCCGTGGTGGCGTCCTTTCCGGCCACCTCAAACAGTATTTCCTCACCACCGGGATGCTGCAAATCAGAATAGAGATAGCGGTGATTTTAAAGGAGATACAGATATTATTTATCATCCGCTGATCTGCACCTACCTCATTTTGGAATTTGGTGACGTCGTACACCTTATCGTCTATCACCATCCACAAATCCGCCGTGGTATTGTGTTTTGCAACTTCGGCGAGCGAGTACTGCTTCAAAGATTCCATTTTTGTGCTTGGTTGAGATAAATCTCCGTTCTGCTACTAGAAATTTAAATCCGCTGTGGAATCTCGCCAGAAAATAGCAATGCCACAACAACGATGAAGGAAGCAGGAACAACTTGTTGGAGCGTTGAAGGAACGACTGCGGAGAGAAAGCTCGTTCCGATCGATGACGATGAATTATTGAAACTCGCGATTTCGCGAATGACATGAAGCTTCAAAAACAGATGACTGTCATAAGCCCTCTAGTTAAAGTATAGACGAGTGCACGGATGGATTTGAGTTCACTCACTCGACAAAAAGTGACACAACAGCGGGGCCCTGTTCACTAAAAATGAACACATATGTGTTCATTTTTAGTAAAAGGGCCCCGCTGTTGTGTCACTTTTTGTCAAGTGAGTGAACTCAAATCCATCTGTGCACTCGTCTATGGACGACTGTTACCACAAAACGGAAAAAGCTGTTCCAATCGAGTAAAGCCAGGCCAGTGACAAGACGTATACTAACAGCAGCTTTTGACAGCAGGCAGCATGTCCCGGGCTCAAATCGTTTATTTTACTGTGCTGGGCCCGCTGTCACGGTATAACATTCAGTGCTAACATTTGAAAACGGCACAAAAGCCATTTGTAAACAAATGGTTTGTGGGCCCTTTACTCACTACTTGAAGTACACCCACGCGACACAACAGCAACATCGGGTAGGGGAAATTTTCCCCTTCCTGACGATGCTGTTGGTTTGCGTGGGCGTTCTTCGGGTAGCGAGTAAAGGGCCCACAAACCATTTGTTTACAAATGGCTTTTGCGCCGTTTTCAAATGTTAGCACTGACAAGTTGCCTACGCGCTTGCCAGTGGGCTGAGTAAAGCGGTGCATTTTGACAGACTTCCATACTTTTACTGTAGGGCTTTACATTTTGACGGTTCGGTTATTGGAATAACTTTTGACAGACGTCCATACTTTTACTGTAGGGCTTTAGAATTTTTAGCCTTTATAATCCTGATTGGTGTAAACAAGGATTTTCCCGTAAAGATTTTTTCATTCCTTATTGATAACTTAATAAAAAAAAGTTTTTTAAAATGCCAACCAACAACAGGGGTGGCCAGCCACCATCCGATGACGATGATGACTTTTTCAAGCCAACTCCCAAGTGAGTCGTCCTAAAAAAATATTCCAGCTTTTTCACCTTGACGTTTTAAATTATTACATTACAAATCATCACCGTGTTGCAGCTCAACTCTGGCGAAAATATTTGGCATTGCAAAGGGGAAGACTGCTTCTACGAGGAATTCGCCGGAAATCGTATCTAGCGCTACCAAACCCACGGCGAGCAAAGTCTCGGATCGCTATGGGGCGTCATCATTTCGATATGTTCCACCGCAGGAGGTGGTAGAAACCCACTCAGATGGAGAAACATCGGCAAATAAATCCTCTGCAGAGTGGAGTCTGGTTCAAGCTTGTGTAGTTACCGCCTACAAACTGTGAGTTTATGATTAGCAGATAATGGTGTGATAGGTCATTAACTTTATACAATCCGTTTTCCAGTGTTAATAACACGAATACAACGCAGGGGAAGCTGGGTTTAGCTTTGCTCAATTCCGGTTCTGAATTCAGAATTTTGATTTATCGAACGAAAACGGACGCTGTTGCAACTTTGAATCTAGCTTCCTCCAGTAAGCTTTTTCTCAAAAATGAATACCTGCAATTTCGAAGCGACGACGAAAGTTTCTGGAGCGTATTGTTTGAAAATCCTGCTGAACGGGATCGTTTACTGAGAACAATTAAAGATGTATGCACTATAGAAAAAGAACAACAGCATCGAGTTCCTCCGGTACCTGCTTCACGGACCATTCCGATCGTAGAGGAACCAGACTCGGACATAGAGCAAAGCAAAGCTAGTCTCATCTCTAGAATGGCTCGAGTTGGTCAGTCAATTTTACCACAGGATAAGCCTCTATCAACGACGGAAGTGAGCGATTCCTCCGATACGGATGCACGCTTCGAAACTATTCCCCGTTCAAACATTCCCCCTCATCGACGAGCTGCAAGCGGAGGTAGCGGAAAAATTCAACCCGTATCGATGGGAATGCAAATGGTTCCTTCTGCTGCGAATGCCCTGACGACGGCCATTGCCGGACAAAACATGCTACACACGGCTACCGATGTAAACTTTAATTTGTTCATGACCGAGAATCGAATGCAAGGTACCGAGGTACGTATGAATCTGTCCAAATTGGAATCCAAACTGGATCGGGTGTTGGACAAAATCGATTGCATAAACTTGAATAGCGGTGGGGGCTCGGCTGAGAAATCCGCGATTGATAAGGATGAGGACATTTTGGCACTGGAGGAGAAAATATTTGAGCTCAAGAAGGAAAATCATGCTTTAAAAGGAAAGCTGCGAACTATGGAAGCGGAAACTAGTTTTAGGAAGAATGATGCAGTTCTAAGGCAACAATTAACTGAATCGGAAAAGTGTTGCAAAGAATTCGAGGAAAAAGTAGCCGCACTTCAGGAAGATTTAGTAGCGAATCGTTATAGAAGTGATTTAGATCTTAAAGAAATTGAAAGAATAAAAGGAGAATTTGATACAAAGAATCAATTGATAGCGGAAAAAGCCAAAGAAATCTCTCTACTGACTAACCAAATAGGGGAAGCCCAAAAGAGAGAGACATTATCGAATGAGAAAAATTCACTATTGATGAAGCAAATAGAGGAATTGCAAAATACAGCAAAGAACATGGAAGAACTTAAAAGTTTACAACCGAAAGCTACCAGCTCCGAGTCGTTGGATGATCTTGTAAAAGCCATTATGAATAGCTGCTTCCAGCGAATGTCCGAGCAGATAGACGATGCTAGGACATTGAAAATTATAGGCAACGCTATTAAGCAGGAAACGAAAGCCGCCTTGGCTCGACGGCAAACGAAATAAAATGTGAAAAAGTTGTTAAAGTTTAACACTAGATAGGTAGTTCATTTTATTCATGAAAGAACGGTACCAATAGCAGACAATGGTAATCCCACAAAAATAATCATAAAAGAGAGCTGAAGTACGTGTTCCGGGTATCATGCAAACCATTTATGGGATAGTTTACCCATCTGGGATACAGTTCGTTTATGGTATTTGTTTATTAGGGATGTCATCCTCGAAAAAAATACCAACTATTATGCACTACACTGTAATGGTTCGTCCTGCTTAAAATACTGTCATCTTTCGTTTATCGTTTCTCAGCTGCTGTTCCCGTGAGATCGAGTGTTCCGTTTTCTGGATTTCGGAAATTTCCTTCTGCTTGTCGGTAATCTGCTTTCTTAGGTTCGAATGCATTTTCGATCCGGGCTGATGTCGCGTCAGAGAATGTGACAGTTTCTCAATGTCCATTTCAAGCCGCCTAGTTTGCTCGGCAAGTTTGAGGCTGGCAATGTTTAGATTTTTCAACGAACAGTTTGGCAGATCGATCTTATTTTGATTTTCGTTGGATTTCCTATCAGTAAGTTTCGATGTGCCTTCGTTGGAACCCAAAATTTCGCTATTCAGGAAATTAAACACATCTTTCTTCTCCCTCCCCTTGGCGTACTGCTTCAAGTCCCGTTTCTCCTGAATTCTTTTCTGTCGTAGAAGTTTCTTCTCGACATTGAATAGGTTGCTGTCTCCGTTGGCCTGTTCGCGAAGTTGCATACAGTAGTCCAGCGATTTACCCTGCGGTAATACTTGCGCACTAACCGGCACAACAATGCCTTCGCCTCTACTTCCAAGACCAGCACCGACGACGTAGCCCATTTTTTGCATAATCTTTGATCCAATACCCTTGGTGTGCTTCTCCCATTCACCCAACCGCTGACTCGGCGCAGGATTTAACAAACTTCGCTGAATAATTTGTGCCTGTCGAATCGAAACCACGTCTTCTTCCATTCCTTCGCTGTTCGAGTCAGATTCCGAATCGGAGCTTGACATCTCATCGCCCTCCAAAGGTAAAACATCCTCAAATTGCATCTCCAGCTCATGTTTTCCTTCGTCAATTTGAATTTTGCATAATTTATTTTCAAAATCAGCCTGTTTTATCGTTCCCTTACTCCACAAACGATTTTTCTGCTTTGCCAAAACTCGTCCACCCTTTTTTCGCAGCAGTTCAAACCGTGGCTCCCGGTATTCTTTCAGCTCATTGAACGAGATAACTTCCCCATGTGAGAAACGACACTTTTCGTCGCTGAATTTGCAATCTCCTTCGAGGAAGTACACACACGGAACCATTTCCTGGTGAGTTGGATTGATGAATAACACCTTCACCGTTACCTCTTCCAGATTGGATGCATCCAAGCTGCATATCAGTGCATTGTGATACGACTTCGATCCCCACTTGTGTATGTGAGGAGCCGAGCATTTGCTGCCGACAAGATCTTTGAATGCATCTGCTTCCTCCGCAGTCACCTCTGCTTGTTGGGGTTCCGTTGAAGCATCCAATCCGTCTATTTCCGACATGAATAGTGCATACTCATCGTCGACGTCATTGGTAGAACCTGGTCCATCAGATTCGTCACCGTTTTCATGTTCAAGTGTTTCACGAGTAAGCTGCAGTAATTCCTGGAGATCGCTTCTCAAATTCAGCAAAGACTCGCGTTCAGTGCCGTCACTTGCGGCCACTAAGGCTAGTTCCACTTGGGTAAGCTACAATTTGAAATAGAGGAACATAATATTATTTCCAAATGTTTTAATATCATTAAGAAATACCTGATCAGTATACAGCTGAATGGATTCGTTCAAGCCTTGTTCACTACTCATGTCGGAAACGCAGGATTTTTTAATTTATTTTAGCAGATTACCTACTTCAAACATTTTTTTGGAGAAAACCGACTCGACGAAATTTTTCACCAGCGTTACTTGAAGGTGTTGTAAACAAATCAAGCTGTTTGCGTTACACACGGTATACACGGTAAGACGAAACTACTCAAAATCGAAAATAGAAAGAACTTAAAAATAAGAACTGGGTTCTTTAAGGGTATTGAGGAAATGCACATTCGTAACCCTAATAAAAATTGTATGGTTAATTTGCTTAACGACGTGTTCTGGGTATCATCCAAACAATTTGTGGAATAGTTCAATGATTTGGGTTATCGTTCTTTTATGGTTATTTTTTATAGGGAATCTGTATTAAAAATAGAACCCAAATCAAAAATTTCATAAATTTTGGTACACTGGAGTTATTTTAAATAAGTACGATTACATTTGCAAAAATTACTACACTAATAAAATTCCACACATTTTTATTGACGATTTTCAATGTGAAATTCCACATGATTTTCATGTGCCACACATAAACAGAACCCACCCACACATAGATATCATTTGTTGATCACATTACAAAAAATCATGTGTGGGACACATAAAAACAATCTTTGAAATTTTATCAGTGTACCTTAGGACCCCTCGGTGGCACTTTGTATGGGAGCGAGTTGTTAGTTTAGTGTCAAACTGCGAAATTAATATTTTGATATAAATAGGGGAAAAGTTGGCTTCGGCAATAGCTTCACCTATTATCGTCAGGGGGGTAAAAAAAGTCCTTCAGAGATCAATTTTGGCATGTGGATACATTGTGTTTCAGAGCAACTATTGGCCAAATTTGAGTGCTCTAGGACTTTGTTTACCCTCCTGACGATAAAAGGTTAAGGTATTGCCGAAGCCCACATTTCCCCTATTGATTTAAAAATCGAGAAGAAAGTGTAGGTTTTCGAAAAAAATATCGCTAGCTCAGAAAACGAAGCTCTTTTAGATGATGTACAAAATATGAGAAGTACATGGACGTAAAAATCAATGGGAAAGTACAGAGGATTTCAATAGATCGCTTAAAACCAGTTTTCATTTGCGATCAAAGTATAAGCAACCGTAACGGTACGCTGCTAAACTCATTTTAGCAGCCCTCATCATAGCGCAGCTACCGTATCGGGGGTTGCCAATACGACAAACTAAAATAGCAGTCGGCTTCTCGGTGAGAAGCGCGTTACCAAATTTAGCAGCGCTGGAGAAAGGTTGCTATTCGTAGAAATGTCAAAATGCTCACTACCGGTACGGACTACGGCGAGTAAATTGATAACCGCGATAGCAGCGACCGATGTGGAGAAGAGTGACTAAACTAAAATGAGAGCGCTGTCCGCTGCAGCGTTGCCAGATGTACCGATTTATCGATATTTATACCGATTTCCGAACTAGATACCGATATACAGATAAGGTTCCTGAGAATACCGATTTTTGAGGTTTTATACCGATTTATACCGATTTTATTAAATAATCAAAATGATTATTGCCTGCCCGCGCTCAAGTTTCGGAGAAAATTATTGTGAGAGACTTGTATCTTTTTGAATTTCTCAAATTTTTTTAAACTTTTAAAATAAAAAAAATCATCTTTAAAATGTCTTATGGATACTCTTTTGATTAATGTTTCAATTAGCTCACCATTTTTGGCTACTCATGAATCGATAAACAGTCGATGGCTCTTTCTGGCAATTCCGGGGAATCGAGAAATGCTTTTTAAACATTATTTAACTTCCTGAATTTTCTTCCACCTTACATAGTAAATTATTTTACGATTCCTCTCGGAAACTTGTTTCGACTTCCCTTGGAACTTTCTTCAACCTTCGCTCGAATGATTCTTCCATATTTTCCCGCCAGTTTTTTCAACTTTCCCGGAACTTCAGGGATGCTTCCAGACGGATCCACACTAGCTGCAGGAACTTTTAAGAAGTTCTGAAACTTCAGAAAAGTCCAGACTTTTGAGTAAGTTGCGATAAATTGAAGAATGTTTCAATAACTTCTGTTAAAATTCTAAAATCCGGTCCAGCGAACTCCAGTGAACTTAAGCAAACATCATGAATATTTTGGATACTTCACAAATCCAAAGAACTTCTGGAAAATTTAATGGTTTTCATGACAGTTCCATTAGTTTCAGGAGAATTGAGAGAACTTTAGGAAACTCCGAGAACATGAACATCAGGACAGATCAATAAATTTCAAGAAAATCGCTGAAATTTTAAAGGAGGTCCGAGAAACTCAGGCAATTTCCGAACACTTCAGCAATGTTCCGAGAGGCTCATACAAATTTAGGAAACGTAATGGAAGTTACATGAACACAATTTGTTTTCACAATTTTGATCCCCACTTGAAGACGAAGATAATTTAAAAAAAAAAAATTTAAATTAAAGACTGTTTTAAGACTGAGAAAGCCGTTAAACAAAGTAATTCCCCTCAAGTCTCAGTCGTTACCATCGTTAAAATTTTCGCTTTGAAAAACGGCAAAAATATAAAATTAACAGTAAATACCGATAAATACCGATTTTTTCATACCTTTGAAACCGATAAGATTTAAAACAATCAGGCAACGCTGCACAGCGCTCTCATTTTAGTTTAGTCACAATTCTCCACACCGGTAGCTGATATCGCGGTTATCAATTTACTCGCCGTAGTCCGTACCGGTAGTGAGCATTTTGACATTTCTATGAATAGCAACCTTTCTCCCGCGTTGCTAAATTTGGTAACGCGCTTCTCACCGAGAAGCCGACTGCTATTTTAGTTTGTCGTATTGGCAACCCCCGATACGGTAGCTGCACTATGATGAGGGCTGCTAAAATGTGTTTAGCAGCGTACCGTTACGGTTGTTCTAAGCATTCCGACTTTATAGACATTAATATTTCTAAAGAAATATGTTAGAAAGGCCTAATTCGAATATGATAGTTTCAAGAATATGTTATTTTACGTTTTGGTTTTGAGTTTAATATCAGATGATTAATATTATTTTTTTCCTTGATTTGTTTTCCGTCGATCTTGTTTTCCGTGTTGAGCACTGTAGAGTTATGATGTACGATATGAACCCATAGATACAACCCTGATAAGTATGAATGTATTAATGTTGCCTTACCAAGTACAAGACTGGTGAGTATTAGAAACCGAGCATCAGTGAGGGGGATTGATATACAGATAGTCGTGAAGAGTGGACGTACTGCGGATTTGGTCGGTGAAATAAAACCCCTGAAGAGGACTTTACAATTGGCGCAGTCGGTACGATTTTAAAATGGTAGGTACCTAGATTGTGTTTAAAGTTGCGAAAAGATTTTTTTAATGCAAATTAAGTTGTGAAAGAAAAAAAACAAAAAAAAATTAGTAAATTTGAAGTGTCCATAATTGCTGTTCATTGGAATGAATGCGAAGGATTTGTTTCAAGCTAGGCCAGCAGATGCTGAAGAGCAAGCGAGACCGAAGTGACGTTCGAAGCGCTAGAAATGGTTGAAGAGTGAAAGATGGAAATACTAGTCCAACCGTTGGTTGTAGAGTAATGTGCCCGGTTACGGAAAAAAACGGAGGACGTACATGACTAGGCCAGCAAGTTGCTGTAGAGCAAGGGAAAGGTAATGGAAAAAAAAGCGAGTCCGGTACATTACCGTAGCGCATACGTACACAAACACATTCAGCTAGACCAGCTACGGCTGAAGAGCAGAGCAATAAGACGAAGAAAAATGAGTTTGGTTGCAACGTGTAATTGATGCCGAAGCACATACATAACCAAACTCAATATTGCTAGCAGTAAACAGAGGGAGAGGAGAATGAAATGGTGAACGGTTAAGTGATTTTCGTTTACATATACATCGATACTAGCGGAAGAGGGAAAGCGAAAAGATGTAGGATATGAAAGTAAGTTTTTTTGTGTGTCTGATCGATGGTGTATGTCGTCGTGTAATGAAGTGGAGAAGAAGTTTCGGTTGGAATATATTACCCTACACATACTGACATTAGTACATGCTGAAGAATAAAGCAGAATCGACTGCTACCCGTGTGCTTCCACGTTAACCATTATGTAGCTTTGGTAATCGAAGTTATAATAACAATAACCGAAGTGATACTCTTGTAAAAAAAAAAAAAAAAACGAAGAATCCAATCAGGAAGTGAGAATCAAAATGCAGGTAACAAATTGATCGAAATTTGCTTAGCAGGAAGTGAATCTTTTGCCTTTTTTTAAGAACTAAGCAGTTTATGTTTATGGTTTTGTTTTATGGTGAATGAGTTTTGTGAGAAAAAGGAAAAACCGTTAATTGCAATGTTACATGCATAATTTACTTTACAAGTGAAGTGACTCCAATGTATGAATTTCCCGTTACAGATGAGTCTCAGAGATAAATCAAAATGGCCACTTGAGCCGTTCAATGCTGAAGCTGATACGCAGGACTTGCGCAGAGAGTGGGAAGAATGGCATCGTGCTTTCGAACTGCTTCTGGAATGGAGAGATGTTGAGAAACAACACGATAAGCTGGTGCTACTCTTGACTGTTGGCGGACGTGGATTGCAGCGTATATATTACAATCTTGGTCCAGCCCCGGAGGAAATCTATCCTGCACCAGTGAAAGTACCGTATTGTCCTAACGAGGTTCCTGAATATGACAATGCGATTAAGCGGCTTCAGAAGTTTTTTGTCGGGAAGCGAAATGACCGCATCGAATTGGAAGTGTTCCGTTCCCTTAAGCAAGCCAATGACGAATCGTTCAACAACTTTCTTCTTCGACTTCGAGCGCAAGCCACACGTTGTGAGTTTAAGGATCGAGAGGGAAAAGAGATCCTCCAGCAAGTTACGATGGGTGCCCGTGATGAGCGTGTACGGGACAAGGGTCTGGAAGATGTAATGGATCTCGATGAAATAACAAGCTACGCTATCAACCGCGAGATCCTCATGAAACAGAAGGAGAAGTCAAAGCCTTTCAATGGTGAATTTGTTTCTGGTTCCGTAGCGGCTGTTGGACAGGAATGGTCAGGAAAACCTCGAATGAAGAAAACCACTGGAAGATCCTTCAAATTTG